AGATCCTCATCCTGAGCGGTTGAATTGTCGACCCTCCTCGGAACCTGCTCGTTTTTGCCGGACATTCGCAAAACGGTGCGATCACACCCCTGTGCTCGTGGGCGCAGAAGTGTATTGTGCCATTGTAAATATAAACTGCGTCTATATATCGTCGTTTTCCCGAACTATTCGTCGCGTTTCTCGGCATATTGCGCCCCGTAACCATTTAACCGCGCGCGCGAGCGCTTATTGTACACGGATAGCATATGGCACGGAAGGTAACGTCTCTATTATGCATCTCCTCCCCTCCTTTGCTACTTGATAAATGGCCGCTCGTATTTAACGCGGCTAATCGAGCTGCATGCGTCAATGAAAGAGAATATCGCGCGAACAAAAATGGATGAAAGAGCTTCGACGAAATGAAGAACGCGTTTTTTCCCCCTTTTTTTTATCGCATCGTCCATTAACTACTTACTTTTGGAATTACGTTTTAATTAGCATAATGTAGACTGCGTAAGTATATGATCGATATGTGAACGAGATCAAAGTATAATTAATATTCCTTGGTAACATATATATCAATGTCCGATTTTATTAGTCTTCTTTCAATTCTGATTGATACTATATTGATAATGACAATGACTTACTACTTTAGCGAATGGCTAAAAATGAATACATATTCACGTTAACGGAAAGTTATAGTGGTTAGATACAAGAAACTGCGTTTTCCAAAATTTTTTTCCGAATGAAAAAAAGCGGCTATTGATACTTTATATAAACTATAAACGATGAAATCGATTTTATATACATCTGGAGAGAATATAATGCTCTGTTTTAAATATAGATTAAAAAGCAAATTAATTATTTCTATTAGTATATTTTAAAAAGCTTTTTTTTTTTGTTTTTATCATATAATTTGTTTGTATTATTTTAATATCGGGTTTTCTCTTTTAATGTAAGATATAATATAATGCACATATGTACATGTCATTGAAACTTGATCTTTCGATTCTTCGATATTAACGCAACATGTTCCGTAAAATTAACGCAAAATTTTCTCTCTTTTTCCTATAATTATAAAGCATGGCCACACACGTAGAAAATACCAGGCAATTTAGTCGTAAATCAACGTTGGCTATCGGTGACAACGATTATTTATAGAACGGCAGAAACAAGCGCATGTTTGAAGAGTTATAGTATAGGAAGTACGCTATATATGATATTATATACAATGCACTCTTGATCATAAAATAACCAGATGACTAGGTCGTAACTTTTTTTCACGCATAAATATAAATATATTTATAATGCTTTAATTAAGGTCAGGGTTGATAATCTGATTTGTTTTACTATAAACATAATTATCACATGTTCTAGTATGAATTCTTGATATAACGAAGCTTAATCGAAATTCATTATAAAATTTTTACTGGGATTACAAAACATCAGAATAATATTTTTAATTATAGAGTATTTATATCTTTCTCTGTACGATTTAAGAATTCTGTATTACAATTTATTTGTCTCCTATTTCTCTCTCTCTCTCTGTTTTTTTCTCTTTCTCAAAGCACATCGTGCAAACACACATGCTTTATGCAAACTCACACTTCACGTCAAGTAATCGATAATTCACTTCGCCAAGAATCAATCCTCTTTGAACGGCGTAGATCGCTTCATTCATTCGTCGTCGCCATGACCATGTTTCTTCCAAATCGTTCAGCAGAAAATTCATCGCGCATGATGCGACTGTTCGCCCCGCGCTTACCAAGCCACGCCGTCGCCAATTACGTGGCACGCAATCACCAAGCAAGATTAACGCCGCGGGTACCTGGCGGCTAATTGAAAGAGGAACGCAACGCGGGCAGGATGTGTGCCACATGCGGGATATACTGTCGGCGGAATCTAATAAGCGTCGTGGCCAGATATGCATGGGACGCGAGGATTCTTCTTTCGTTTCGAGCGAAATCGAATTGCCGTCATCCCCAGTGTATACAATCGCGATACACGCGGAATCATAGTCGCATCTCTCTCTCTCCCTCTTTCCCCGCAAGCAGATTATGGTAATTGACTATCCGACTTGGAAACCCCCATCAGGCATATCAATTACGTACGTATGCATCCCAACCGGGAATTTGCCTTTGATCCGCTCAAACTCCGGAGTAACACAATTCACGCCTGCGTCTAATCTCAAATGGGATTACCTGATGGCACAAGGGACCATCGAAATGGGCTTTCCGACTTCGCGGGGCCGCGAAGTCCTTTCGGGACTGTCGCGCATCGCGAAGGACGGCCCTCCGTGATCGAAACGTAATTCGGTCATTCTCGTTCCTTTGCACAGATCGAACAGACGAACTTGAAAATCTCGATTACTGCAGACGCATGCTATTTCAGTGCACAATTAACATCATCGTCATTTTTTGAATAGATATTGCGTTTAAAGATTTCTATTACATTAATTCATATGTGATGGATTATGCATTTTTAATTGAGGAATCTAATGTGTACTAATTAACGTAAAATTGTATATATATATAGATACTTTCAAAACAACAGTTTTTATATAATTATAAACAGACAATATATTTATGCATATCATGAGTTTTATATAAAGATAAGTAAGTTTTTAATTAAGTAAAACTATTATAATTGATAATTTAATGATTGATAATTTAATGATTTACGTTGTCGTTATTTCGAGACAATAAACATTCATAAATCTCTAGACGGTTTTAAGAGACGTGAAAAAATTGAGGTATTTTTATTCATATCTGTTACCGTTTATTTAATTCAAATATTCAAAAATGACGATTCTTCATCTTTTACCAAAATTTACTGATACATCCTTAGTTATGCGTCAAATCCAACGCGCTATAAACTATCGTAATCTGTTATAACTTAAGTAGATCATTTCTTTGATAAATCGTAGAAACGTTGGAATTTAAAGTGGTGTTTATGCGAAGAAGGGAGAAGTATTCTCTTAAATTACTTCTTATCCTATATTAAACTCTCGCTTTCTCTTTGTCTCTTTATACTTTTTGTTTCTACCCTAGAACAACATAGGCGCGCGCTTTTTTTTACGGACATTTTCCAATCTTTTAACTTTTCTTTCCATTTATACATACATATATATTTTTATAAATCTTTATATATATAAAGAAAGGTAATTTTTTTAAATTAATGAAGCTAAATTTTATAAAAGGATTATTTAAAAGTTTAGATTTATATATATGTATATATGGAAAGAAAAGTTAAAAAGATTGGAAAATGTCTGTAAAAAAAAAGCGCGCGCGCCTATGTTGTTCTAGTAATATAAAATTGGAAATAGGAATATGTGTATCTGTTTTTAAGGTATATGAAAGAGACCGGAGGAGAGAATAAATATTGAATGTTTTATTATAAAATTTTATATATGCGCTTATAAATTATTATTATTACAATTTCTCTGTCGTAAAATATAAATAATTTAATACACTATGGCAAAAAATATTTAAACAATTTAAATACAGTTAAATATGTTAGGGTTACATAAATATATCAGATTAGAACGATAATTTTATATTATCGTTCCTATAATGATAATGTGTTTAAATAATACAAATTTAGATTTCCACCTGCTAGCCAGCTGATATCACGTACGCGATAAGAACGTGGAAAACGAGGACCAGCGATAAAAAATTGATGTTTATATCATTTCTGATGCAACTTAGGAAATATAAATCGAGATATTTCTTTCCACAGTTGTAAACAACGTCAATACATTCCGAAAGAGATAGAGATAACATTCGATACAAAATTTATTAGCACGGAAGATGACAGATAATTTCTGCATTGGCTCTCGTACCAAACGTTCATTCTCTTTTTCCGCGATATGTAATAATAATAATTCGCACATTGTATAATTTTTGTTTGAATATTTGCATTTTCATAACATTTATCTACTAAATAATGCCGTATTTTTTTAATATATAATAATAACGCGCGAACTGTGACTGAATTAAAATGGCTCCGATAAATATTGGTTTATATTCTTTATCCTGTGCAGCGAAAAATTTTTTGATACCCCGTTTTGAAAAGAAGATACTAGTTTTGATTTAAACAAGATAAAATAATAATAAAATGAACTGTTCTCTGATAAAATATACATGCTTTTTTAAAGAGTGATATCTTTTTTCAAATTTACAAATAATTTTTTCTAACAATTTTTTTTTTATCGTATTTCACAATTTTATGATTTTTTTGAATAATCTCCCAAATATATTTAGATCGAAATTATTGAAATCCACTTATTTAAAATATAATGTTTTATTATATCATTTATATGAATTCTTGTTATCGAAACAATGATTTTACGTTTTCGCTTACAATATCTATAATCAAAAAAACAGCATTATAAATACTTTAGCGACAATCCGTATTACATTAATTATTTCGATAATAAATATATAATAATTTAAAAAAAAAAAAAACATTTGCACGTATCTAGCCGGAAGTTATTCTATTGTCGAAGATCTATATGTGAAATCACTCACGATAGCCACGGGACAATATTTGCGATTAATCACTGATTGGTTATCACCATATAAAAGAGATCATTCCGTAATCAGTCGTCCAAAGTCTTCGTGGACAACATGACGCGCTTCATCATTCTCGTGCTTCTTCTAACCGGACGCCTCGTCCGCGGCGTAACGGGTAAATTGTTAGATTTATGGTTCTTCCATGGTTCCACCCTTTCTCTGTAGGCCGCCCTCGGTAACCTCCATTCTTTCTCTCTTTCTCTTCTTTTCGTTCGGTCTCCCATCCCCGCACGACAATCATCCCTGTGCAAGAGGGCGCATCCCACCTTTCGTTTGTTTCGGAATTTATCGAGCGTTGCGTTTTTCCCCGACAAACAAAAACGAGGTCGGATCCGTTCCCGGTTTTCGACTGCGAGCATCAACGAGAGCGTGCTCGAATGAATCTCGTCACAGTGTTGTGTGCGAAAGCATTAATCGAAATATTCGAAATGTGATATACTCTTGCAGAGGATATCGTGACCTCCAAGGCAGGCTTCATGGTGGAATTGAAGGTGGAATCAGTCGGAAAAGCATTCAAATGCATCCTCGAGACTAATCAGGGCGAAAAATTGGAATACATGCCCGGATGTCACCTAATTAGAGGGGACATCGAATGTATCGATAAGAGAAATGAAACATGCACGTTACGCATTAATAAAGCTAATGATACTCACGCGGGTATGTGGAAAGTTACGGCATACACCGCGAAAAAGGAGAATGAAGAGAATATTGATTCATTCGACGATATTACTCCGGAAGTGTTCTTGTTCAGTCTGTATATTCGCCAGGTAAATCTTTTGTCATATTGTCGTCTAGCGATTTTGTTTTTGACTGCATGTGACAAACGTGAGGAAGTTTTGTGAAATTGATCGCCGCAAGCGACACGCTATATACGATCGGTGTTTTTTCTATCGGTTTTATAATCTATTATTCCCCCCCCCCCCAAAAAAAAGAAGAAAATAGAGAGAGTCCTGTAACGATCGTTGATACAACGAATATATAACTTATATGTATTCCAGGAGAAGAAGGCCGCTATACCTTCACAATACATCGAAGTATACGATGGGCATTACATAAATATGAAATATGATGAGAATTATAAGAATCTTACGGCATGCAATCTGACGGGACCTAAGGTACATTAATTAAAGAAAAGGAAGATATGGAAAATTAATGGTTCAGATAAATGTCTACGATTTCTGCCTAATGTATTCGTACATTAATAAAACTCGGGGACAAAATTCAAAGTTCCATTAAAAATCGTAAGAAAATCATGAAAGAAAGAGAAAAAAAACATTGTTAAAAGAAGAGAACAAAAAGTTTACGTCGTTAATGTATTGCCATATTTTATTATTGATTTTATCGTTGCGTTTAATTTTCACGAAGCTTAAACAGTGATATCTGCTTATCTTGCTAATATAAATATCTAAAATTAGATCTAAATTTTTTATTTAATGTTCAACAATTAAAAACTCAATCGAGGCCTTGAAATATATTGTCAAGTATTTCAACCATATCAAGAATGTCTAAATATATATATACTTGGAGAACTTTGACGTTCATCATAATTGATCAATATAGAAAGACTATAAACTTTTTATTCTACTTTTCAGATTTATAAAAGCTTATATATTTTTAATTTTATATTATTATATTATATATATATATATATATATATATATATATATATATATATATATATATTTTTTATAATATATATATATATATATATATATATATATATATATATATATATATATATATATATATATAATATGTTATATTTACACGTTATTATTCTCAACGAATATAAATATGTTTATAACATTTAACATAATTGAAAATTCATCTTTATCGGACATATGCTTAATTTAGATGGAATCCATAAATTTTCTGACAGAGAAACGAAACAATTTTCAACTTTTGGGTCAATGCGGCGTCCGTATGAAAGTAAATGCTACTTATGAGGGCTCTTGGGAACTTGATGCAGTCGTCAACAATTACACGCTGTATTACACATCATTCAATATCGAAGTGCATCAATTAGAACAAAAAGATCCGAATGATATGGTGAGTTTCGCAGTTTCTTGTATGCTTTAATTATAGTTTAACTTTGATTCTCAAAATTTGCATATCTTTTAATGTGTGAAGAAGATTCTGTAAAATGCGCATATGAAGCATTTCTTATTGTTAGAATCAAATCAGTCGAAAACTCACAGAGAATTAGAAAAATAAATGATTTATTTTATTTTTCTACATAATCTTTTAATCTCTTTATCTAATCTCGATGAACCGTTATTGATTTATCATCCATTTGTTATCATTTATTAATCATAATAATATTTTATATATTTTTAAAAAAACTAAGTTGTTTAAAAGCAAAACATTTTTTATTTTATTTTATAGAAACTTATACAATTTGGTGTAAAATTGTATAACTATATAAAGTTGTAATAATATGTGATATGAATATGTGCATATTTGTTTTATCACCGATGATGCAATTATATAATCAATATATTCGTCTCGTATCAATATTTAATATCGCACATTAATATGTCATGGTCATATATAAACGTTATATATAAATTATACATTACAACATTAAATTTGGATATCGTGTTTAAAATTTAAAATGGATTGAAATTGAAAGAAAAGAGAAATTGAAATTAACATTTAAAATCAGGGTTCCAAAAAAATTTTTTAAAAGATTAGCATTTTTTTATATTTAATTGGTATTAAACAAGGAATCAAAATTAGGATGTGTAAGAAAATTAAAATAAATAATATTAATATAATGTATTTGTGTATGTTAAAGAATTTCTTTATTTTAAATATTAATATTTATATTAAACTAATATAACTAAACGACAAATATGTGATACTTACTATATCCAATTTAAATATCCAATAAAGAAGCCATTTTATAACGTGGCTTACAATTTTATAGTTTTTGCAATAAAGTCGCTTTAGAAGCAAATGTCTAACCATGCCATTAGTCTGCAACTCAGGTAGCAAACATTGTACGTAAGTATATCGGCTTACGTCTTATCGCTCGCGAGTTAAGTTCCGTTCAGCTTGCGGTAAAGAGGCGAGATCGAAATCGGAAGCGTACATTACATTCACCAGATTCGATTATCATCCGCGATTACAGTAAGACTCCCTGTATATCGATTCGCCTTTATCGCGACGGTTTGATAAAATCGGCCGGTGTCGTCATATCATCCACACACATACACACGCGCATACAGGCATCCACGTATATTCAGGAAACAAAATAACGATCAAATGTGACCGCCATGAGAGCGTTAATGGCAAACGTTTTCCGTCGAAATGGACGAGTTTCGAAACAGCACATCGAAAATCGCTATCGAAATTCGAACAATTGCCTTCCGTGACGTTTAAACCTGCTAAAAGGGTTGACGTGACGAGTTTAGCAGAAACACTAAAATTCGATTACAACAATATAACTTATTTATTTCTATTTATTTTGCATCAATGGTGTTTTTAGGAAATTGTAAACGACAGAACAGAAAAATTATCGAATACCTAAAATGTGAATAATTAAATTGTATTTTAAGCAAGCATTCGCTTAACGATCATCTATATATGTTGTTTCAATAAAAGTAAAAAGCATTAAAGCGTTATATAAAATATCTGATATGATTAATATAATTAACAATTCAGCCATTTACTTACTCTTTACTTAGACTTTTATTTATGCGTTATTTTGAAAAGCTGAAAAAACCCAAAGAGAAAACGACCGGAGATTGAGGCGCGATTAGTTTCACGATCGTTCGATTTTCCCTTACATTCTTCCGAATTTGGTGCGCCGGCGATTGCGCGGATGGTCAAAAGCTCGTAGCAATAAACTGTCGCAAAATAGCGGCGTAAAAATAAAAGAAACGATCGGGCTTCGGGCAACAGTGCAATCGGCGTTTCAGACATTTCCCACCGAAATGCTCTCAAAAAGAGCGCAAGCTCCGGCTTTTGGCTGAAAGCCGGGTTCGCGTGGAACGTGAGGTGCCCTCCGGGGCCCTGAATGCACCCGAATAATCTTCGATGTCGCTAACGAGAGTGCACCCGTCGCCGTTTGTAGGGATTGAGGGGGATTCCGCATCGAAGTTGTACCAACTCACGCCAACTTGCTATAATAGACGCCTAACGAGATAGCCGAAGCTGAACGCGAGCTATCGCTGTTTCAAGAAACACGTAGCTATCGTTAAATACGATGTAACAAATGTTGGAAAAAAAGAAAGGAAGGATACTTGTGTAACTTCAGAACGCGCACGCTACTTTCTCGTTAGTTCAAGAGAGCAATGTCGTAAGAGAAAGAATAAATCAAGGAAAGAAAGTGAAAAAAGAAATAAATTATTTTACTTTTTTTTAATACATATAAAAAACATTCTATATCATAAAATTTATGATATTGTTAAATTTGTATTAAACAAAATAATGAAACGCAGTTTTGCCGAAAAAGAGAGAGGGATAAATGCAAAATTGTATACTAGAATGTAAAATCTAATAGCGCGTTACGCGCTAGCTTGATATAATCATCACTATCATGCAAATGCATTAATTAATCTCATTACGAATTATGGACGATACAAAATTATCGACAAATACCTCTTCAATAGTAATTAGCTTGCCGAAACTACGTGTTATCTATTTAGTTTCAGTAATTACTATATGCAATCCAGCTCACAAACGGGAATTAGAGATATTTAGAACTTATTGATTTTGCTGAGGTATCAGATAACATATATTTGAATGACTTGCATAATATGACTATAAAACTAGAAAATCATTAATTCAACCGGGATTGGAAATCTAATGGCTATAACATTTGATTCTCAGCATTTTATAGAAGCATGAATCATTAAAATCGTAATTCCTGAACAACTTAATTTGTTTTATTAAGTAATCTATGAATGAATCTTTAAACATAGTCCTAGATAGTTTAATTTTGTTGTTGTAACTGAATTTTTTTTTAAAGTTAGTCTTACAGTGGACCCGTGGCTCTCCAGGTATAATCAGCCTATCAGGTAAATCGAAAATATGTGAAATAGTGGATCCGAATGGTGTAACTGTAGCTACATCAATTGGAAAATGTTATCATCAAGTAAAAGTCGCTACTACTCAGCACGAGGGCGTATGGCTCGCTCGTTATAATATGTACGGGATGCTGGAGCCTATCGAACAAAAATTTAGAATTGAGATTTTTGGTAAGATTTCTCCATAAATATGATAGAATACTCTTATTTCCGACAAAAATTTTTAATCATAAATTAATGCCAAAAAGTATAAGTTTTGAAATTTTTTAAATATATTTCTACATTTTAGATTAAATTCTTTAAGTATGATTTGCAAGATTCGAAAAAATCTATAAATTCATACAAAATAATCAATTATTTATTAAAGATAGTAATGATTATGTAACATGGTTAGAATTGAATCCAAACAAATCAAAAAGGGGATTAAAAATTTTATCATTTGCATATAGATCTATGTTTATTCGTTTAAAGGAGCTTCTTTAAATTGCGAAACTTTCAAGTACATGTCGAAAGAAGAACCGAGGCAATAATAACAAAATAATTATTTCAATTTTGTTAATATAAAAGTGATCCTTTCAGATCGAGTAATTTTTAATGCTAATGTCACTCGTACCGAGGATGGCAGTACGCGATTATTATGTCAATTAGAGATAAAGGGCACACGTCCGGAATCATGTAACTTTATTAGACCCGATGGCACGAGACTTTACATGACGCCCATAATAGGTACTGAAAGGTAGATATAGAGTACAAATTTGTAGTATTAATTATAGTTAATAACACAATGATATACTCGGTTGTTTTGATAGTATACGTAAAAGCTGTTTATATATATTTAGTTTCAAAACAGAGAAAGTGTGATGATAAGTGAAATGGATTAAAAAATTCTTCGATATTTTGATAAGATACGGATAATTACGAAACAGGTACACTGCCTACATATATTCTTTCACCAAGCGTGAACACGCTTACAATGTTTTGGAATGTGCAATAACAATCATGAAGCTTGAGGACGTGGATTACGGCGCATGGCGATGCGATCTTAGGATACCCTTCAGTTCACGCTCGTATGGAACCGTGCTTCGCGTTGACTATCCCGATTCTCGGGGAAACAACAACACTAAAGATGAAATGGTTAAAATCAGAACGGACGATGTATACGTAAAGCGCGGCGACCCGTTTACGGTAAATACACGACATAAATCCGAAACAACTAGAAAAACCTATTATTTTGTATAATAATCGTATGCAAAATTTAAAAAAATGGGTTCTGCTTTATATACAAAATTTATTTACTAGCATATATTAATAATAATCTCTATTTTTATACATTGATATCTCTAATGTTTTTATGTGATTAAGTAAATTATATTAATTATCTATTTTATGTTATAAAAATTTGATTTTATTACAAATAGATATATAGGGTACCTAGAAAAGATTTGTATAGCATATCTTTTATTAGATAAAATGTGTCGCTGATGCCGCACTTGATTACTGTTGGCTGCGAAGCCCGAATGGAACTTCTTATTCCATCACAGAAGATACGGAAGTTAAGTCGTCAATTACTCTAGATTATCATGGCAACGGGCTGTCATTTGGCGAATGTGGTGTAGAAATTTCAGCAGCCATACATTCCGATGATGGACATTGGAGTTGTTTGATGGGGATGACTGACGGTGGCGAGCAAGCCGCGACAGTGTCAGTCACAGTAACAGGTTGGAAAATGCTCATATTAGAGAAAATCTTTTCTTGCTTTAATAATTCTTTTATGTGAGAAAATTTTTGAATTATCTTAAATTTTAATTTATAAAAATATTTTGAATTACTTTCAACATATATATTTATAAATAAGAAAAATAACAATATTTTTTAAACGTAATCACAATATAACGTTTGACAATGTGAAATTTTTTATATGCAAGAAATTAATTCAAACTGAAAAAAGGAACGGATATCTAGAATATATTATCAACATCATTATCAGTATTGATCTTAATAATGTTTCTTTCATAAGCTAACATATAATCGCGGAACTAATTAACTAAGTAATCTCGAGATGAAGAGATAACTAAGTTATTTGCCGAGATGGCTTGCAAACGCGCAACACTTGACAAAATCTACTTAATGCAATGGTTACTTAAAAATTGCTAATATCTACTTTTATGTGTGCGTGCGTGCGCGTGTATGTATGTAGTTATTGTAGCAAACACCTAACCGCAAAGTTGTGTTAATAATATACACATTTATGTTGCGCATTTTACTATTTTTGCAAACATGCATTATGCATTATGAATCTCACCACAATGCATTTAGGGAGTTGCGCCTTTTACGTTTGCATCCAAGAGAGGTTTTACAGCACAAAGGTTTCTGTCATTAATTATATGTTTTGCAAATAAAAACACATAATTAATAACAGAAATGAAGTTAAAATGATTAGTAAGTCGAATATTCATTATTAACTAAGTAATCTCGAGATGAAGAGATAACTAAGTTATTTGCCGAGATGGCTTGCAAACGCGCAACACTTGACAAAATCTACTTAATGCAATGGTTACTTAAAAATTGCTAATATCTACTTTTATGTGTGCGTGCGTGCGCGTGTATGTATGTAGTTATTGTAGCAAACACCTAACCGCAAAGTTGTGTTAATAATATACACATTTATGTTGCGCATTTTACTATTTTTGCAAACATGCATTATGCATTATGAATCTCACCACAATGCATTTAGGGAGTTGCGCCTTTTACGTTTGCATCCAAGAGAGTTTTACAGCACAAAGGTTTCTGTCATTAATTATATGTTTTGCAAATAAAAACACATAATTAATAACAGAAATGAAGTTAAAATGATTAGTAAGTCGAATATTCATTTTTTTTTTTTATGGTTTTATTAGATACACATATTTTATTTTTATCTTATTGAACAAATATGTAAATGAAAGTACGGTATACCTATCGAAAGAATAAATATTATTTTATGTTTAATTTGAGATAACATAAAGGTATTGTAAACGATTTAGGAATATTTTTCCTTTAGAAATACATATCATATTTTATCTTCTGAAAGAGGCAACCGAGGAAAATCAAAATAAAATCTAAAATAAAGATAATAAAGAATAGAAGAATAATAAAGAAGAATAAAGATAATATCGCATGTGCATTTTTCTTCATTAATTAGAAATATATTTAAAATTTTCTAAATTTTAATATTTTTTCCAATATACATATGATAGCTCTTTATGAACTTGAAATTCTTTGCATGTCATATAACAATAGGCAAATATAATTTACGCTAACATAAAAATTGATAAAAATGCTACAATTTTCTTCATCCACTCTGCGCTTCCGACTTGAGGGAGAAACGACATTACATGTCGACGACACGTCATTAGACATTTCCTTCCAATGAGACGCGTGATATAAACGGCTTTTCAGAAACCTACCTCGTGGCCGAGCAGACGGAAATAGCCGTCAGCGCACGAAACGATCCAGTTCTGTCTTGCCACATCCTTCCGCGTATGCTGGACAGAACAGTTCATTACTGCCGGTGGATTCGCCCCGACGGATATGGAATTTACAATGATATAAGCCATCGATATACCACCAACAGTAGCTACTCCGACTGCAGATTAGTCATCCTGAGTAAGTACGACGGGCATAGAGTCGCATTACGTGTATAGTAATGTAACAAAGTCAGTCTAATTGCCATCCTATATATATATATATATATATGTGTGTGTGTGTGTGTGTGTGTGTGTGTGTGTGTGTGTGTGTGTGTGTGTGTGTGTGTGTGTGTGTGTGTGTGTGTGTGTGTGTGTGTGTGTGTGTGTGTGTGTGTGTGTGTGTGTGTGTGTGTGTGTGTGTGTGTGTGTGTGTGTGTGTGTGTGTGTGTGTGTGTGTGTGTGTGTGTGTGTGTGTTCCATGTATGTATATGTGTTACCAAACGAACCGCACGTAGATTACTATTACATCAATATTAATTAATGACATACGTCGCGATTGCAGTCCAGAGGCACGTCATTTTCCGTTTTAATAGTATTATGATTGTCTGGATATATATATTTTAATAGAATAATGTTAGCAGTACAGAATATGACTGAAATAAGAGGTCAAATCATTCCTCTGGATTCTTAATAAAAAAAGAAGTTAAATAATTATTTAATATATAAAATAAAAAACAACTAATTCATTGTCTGAATTTTATTTAAAATTGACGCATATTTTTCTATTAAAAAAAAGTAGTTTGAAATACTATTCTGTGTAAAAATACTATGTTAGAACGCTTTTATTAATATAATATAGATAAAAATCACGATTAAAAATAAGTTGTTTATTAAATTTGACAATTTCAGTATATATGTTGGCGATATAAATTAATTAATTTCATTTATAGAAGCGACCTTTAAATACATTTACTTAAATAATAGCTCATTCTAATCATCCTATACTGATCTATCTCAAAATGAGCTTTGCAGACACATATTATTATTACATCGATATTAATTAATGGCACGTCACGATTCCAATTCGCGCGATACATCTATCTCGCATTTAATTTCAATATTGTCATTATTATTTCAATATTTCGACTAAATAACTCTGGATAAATCCCCTTACTATAAACCCGTTACATTAATGATTAACGATGTAGAACCGCGATTGCAGTCGATTATATGATATACGCGGTTTCCGTATTTCCATGTTACATGCTGTTCAAATTCTAACTGGATAACTCGGTACATATACACTACAATCTTGTTTCGAAACACGTTGCCGAACACCTGTAATGTCGTGCAAAAGTTATGTAAGATATGTCAACTGCGATGTGACCGAATTTCGGCCGAATCTGCAAAGAAAAATAAGCGCCAAAGATGTTATGATTGTCTATGATGTACCATTTTTACAGCTTGTTCCATTTGATTCGATTAACGAGTCGAGTCGCATTTGAGAAAATCACGATCTTAGTGGCGGGCGGAAATTCAGCTCGAGTCTCCGAATAAACATTTGCCGAATGAATCTTAGCCGAGAGAGGAGGAGAAATTACGAAATTTTTAAAAACTCCATCTTTATGCCGAAATACCATCTAGTTTCTAGTTAATGCGCTCGCGCACGTCGGAATAAAATCGATTCTCGCAGAAACGTTCTTAAAATATACGATAGGACGTCACTTCTTTCTTTTTCGCTGTCTGTCGTGTCCTTATGGACGATGAACTCCGAGGAATTTTCGTGATAGCCGCTCCCTCCTTGTGACTCGCAAAAGTTTCTGTCGTCGCAAATTTTATATTCATTCCAGACTACTATCCGGAAGAGGACGACGGTAATTGGACATGCGTGGCCGGACTCGTGGGTAAAAACGGTCACTTGGAGGAAGCCTGGGACAATGTCATGTGTCATAAAATTCCGTATGCGTCCAGAATGACGGTCTTTATCGTTAAGCGCCTTAGCTTCGTGGTCATCGGTATCACACTGATAATCGTCGTCTTTGGTACCTTCGGTTACGTCTTGGGCCGATATAGGCTTCGTCGAATGATGTCGAGAGACATCATTAACGACTCATCAAGCTACAGCCCGCAGGTATATTATCCCTCGAAATCGCTTCAACCCAAGTTCGACATTTAATTTACGATTTTTATTTGAGTTTTTAATATTAATATATCATATTAATCGTAGAATAATATATTTTTTAGAAGGTTAATATATTATGTTAATATATATTAATAAAATAAATATATGTCTATAATACACTTATATTTGTGCATTATGCAAAATACAAAATATTATATCAAATATCTTTTTATACTTTATAGTTAGCTATATTAAATATGCTATTCTGAATTTAGTAGTGATACGTTTTTATCTACTTTTTCCCCCTTATAATTAATATGTTTGAAAGAAATATCGATAATTAGATGTGTGAAAAAAATATATTTTATAAAAATATTTTTTCAAGTTTTTTTTTTACAAATCAGCACGTTTCTACTAGATACAAATTAGATACAAGTTCTGATTTAATTTCCAATCAGCTTGGAGTCAGCTTGTAGAAACCTTGTGAAATTTCACCGCTATGCGGATATGTAACTGTAACTTATTTCTAGACTTTAATTCTTGCGGTTGATTTAGACTTGTCAGACTTGCTCGAAACGTTCGCGAATGCGTGTGCCTTTAGGCTGCTTTTATACATACGCGAGTTATTCACGCGTTTTCAGATATTCGCAAGACAAGCTTATGTCCATATGCTATTTTTCTTGAATTATTAGAGTTACGGGACGCGATCTTTCTCCCAGATCCGTCGCTTTGCAACCAGAAGGTTCGCCCGACCACCAAAATTTCTCTCCGTTCTCTCAAACGAAGTGCTGTGTCCGCGCCTCAAAAGAATCTCAATATTGATCCCGATTCCCCGCTTATGTCTGGCGGCCTCAACGAATCAAAGTCCATCCTGTAATTGGAAACGGCAGCGGCCCGTTCGACTGGAAGATTCACGACTGAATTGCCGTAGGAACACAATTTACGGTAGCGAGCGTTCGCGCGCGAAGAGGGAGGACAGAAAAGGGTGGCTATCTTGCCAGACGATGGCGGCGGCGAGCCGGTATAACTTTGATATTCCGTCCTTGAGCGAAGGAAGATATGCTAACGATCTGTAAAGAGTATGGCATGGGAGCTGAACAGAGATTCAAGCCTCGCCAGGATAAATTGCGAGTGAAATTAATCGCCACATTTTTGCGGTCTTGCAGTCGATACGCGACTCTTCGCCGATATATTGAATTACGTGCACACAATTTGCAGAAGAATTAAATTCCAGTAAATATGCTGATCATGAATATGCATTTATAAATAATTCTCTCTATATTTTAAGGTAATCATTCTTCTATAAATCGACCTTTTAATGAAATTGGTATTATAATATCAATTATATCAATCGATTATATTTTCTTAACAAAGAGTTTATAAAATAATAGTTTGATTAAACTTTAAACGCGTGCCCGCCCGCAAAGTATAGTCACGCCAAATCTTTGCGTGTATCAGTATTTTATATCATATATCAGCAAAAGTATAATTATAAAATGAAATCGATCCAAATTAAATTTGTACCCTTAAGACACTATGCCGTAAATTTTTCATAAAGAATATTCATTACACATATTCAAAATTCTGGCGGCTCAAACCGCGATTACAGTGAGAATAAAAACTTCGATATTGTTTCTAATAATACACGACTACTAGGAAGATTAATAAAACTCACCAAGAAAAAACTTGTTGGATAAGAAAAAGCAAAATAACAATCGGAAAATATAATAATCCGAGCGTCAGAGAGTCCATCGAGAGTCGATCCATTTGTCCATCGGCGAACAAATCGCGAAGCCGAAGAAAAAATAATTTCAACGCAGACTGATGTTGACAGTTTTCGTTCGTTAAGGTCTGAATTTGTAAGCACTCGATTTCGCGAAACTCGATTTTCTTGTCGAAGCTCGGGGAAAAAAATAGGACGGATCTCACTTTCTCTCTCTCTTTCTCTTTCTCTTTTACGTGCGATGACGATTTCGGAGCGGAATTATTTCCGCTCGTAGCTAGCCGATAACGAGTTATTGAACTCGAAGGATGGAAATTGTTGTTCGTAGTTCGTGAAGACTGACATCGCGATGCTACGCCAACACAAACGGGACGTAGGTAAATACGAAATGTTATCATCGAATCTAACGATAAGACTACCAGAAAATTAATTAACTCGTACAGAGACACAACTCCGAAAATTTTATGTGCTAAATATAACCGGTTTATTATTTTAGAAAAAAATTCATCGTTTAAAAAATATGATCACTCTCAAATTAATCAAACTATCTCTTATTAAAATAAAAAAATATATTCTAAGTCACGTTACATACCTACTCTCTAAATCTGTCGTTTCATGTTTTATGAGATTAAATTGAGATAAAGATATAATATAATCGAAGCTCTGAAATTAATTAGTTAGCTTGATTATATCATATATTTTTCGTGTCAAAATAATACTTTACATTCAACCCTTACTAGTTTATGTAAACGGATATAAAGAGCAAAATCTACAGGCTCGAATATTTTTCATTTTCTTTGGTCTACTTTTTTGCGTTCCTCGTTTCCATATCGCGTATCGGTTTATATACTCGAAAGTATCAAAGGTGTTTATTAATGCTCACATTAATAACGCAATTTATATGTAAAATCTCGAAGGAACATATCAAAGGCAAACAAAATTCTTCCGCAAGTCAAACACGTTTCTATTCGCTTTACGTTCATTAGTATTATCGCAAAGATAAATCGATACGTTCGTTTATTCATGATACTGACAGAGATTCCTCAGTTTTGAAAGGCAACGTTTGAATTTAAGCTCGGCGCATGAAGAGCTGATTTACGCAAAAATTATATTATCTTTTGAATAGCCAGCATGCTATGGATTAGCATGCGAGTTGAAAATTGCAAACTTAAAAAATATCGTTGAGAAGTTTTTACGACGACATACATTTTGTATATCGTCACACGATGTATATTTTCATATTTCATGAGATATATATGTACATATATTATACACACATATATTTACATTAAATAAATAAGTTTAATTGTTTATTTATAATATCTATTGTTAAATTTTTTAAATGAACAAATTTCGTGACATTTATATAATTTGTTACTTGAAACTTCTTTAGTGATACTTCAATCTATTTAAAACACCAGCTATAAAGTACCCAACACCACAATTTTTTTTTTTTTGTACAATCGAGCAGATTTTTTTCCAGCCGTAGAATAAAGAGTAAATTATAGTGCATTAAGCAATACAATCGTCCAATATAAATAATACATAAATAAAAAAGAGAGAGAAAGTTTCCTGTTTAGCTAGTTATAAATTATATCTTGTGTTATAAACCATGATTAATATGGAAAGGATGAAAGGACACGATCATATCTGCTAATTTATATTGTAACACTTGTGACAATTAAATCGAATAATATTTATCAAATTATAAACTTTTGAATGAATGTTTTTAGCGGTTTTACTTTTATCTCTGTTCCTATTTTAATTTTAATCTAGTCTTGCTTTCAAGTGATCAAGTGCTTTAATAATGCGTATGTGTCTTATATTAATTATTTTACTTATAGAATATGAAATAAAGATGATATAATTACGTCAAATATTATTTCTTTTAATAGTAATACCATCAAAGCGCCTGCGGTAGTTGAACAATATTTTCATTTAGCAGAAAACTTGAATTATTCAGTCCGCGTGCGCAGTTGACAAGCTACAATCTCTCGCTAACTCGATTCCGTATTAACTCGAAATGGAGTTTCCGTCTCTGAGTTTACCGCAACGTAAGGCTGTTCAGTTCTAAGCCAACGTACGTACGCACGTTCGCATATCCGGTCCCCAGTCCCCTTTTCCGCGTGCAATAATATTCCATTTGCGCGTACAACGATTATGCGAGCATAGACAATCAACGTGCGCGCGCTCTCGCTCGCTCGCTCGCTCGCTCGCGCAGCCTCGTGTGTGTGTGTGTGTGTGTGTGTGTGTGTGTGTGTGTGTGTGTGTGTGTGTGTGTGTGTGTGTGTGTGTGTGTGTGTGTGTGTGTGTGTGTGTGTGTGTGTGTGTGTGTGTGTGTGTGTGTGTGTGTGTGTGTGTGTGTGTGTGTGTGTGTGTGTGTGTGTGTGTGTGTGTGTGTGTGTGTGTGTGTGTGTGTGTGTGTGTGTGTGTGTGTGTGTGTGTGTGTGTGTGTGTGTGTGTGTGTGTGTGTGTGTGTGTGTGTGTGTGTGTGTGTGTGTGTGTGTGTGTGTGTGTGTGTGTGTGTGTGTGTGTGTGTGTGTGTGTGTGTGTGTGTGTGTGTGTGTGTGTGTGTGTGTGTGTGTGTGTGTGTGTGTGTGTGTGTGTGTGTGTGTGTGTGTGTGTGTGTGTGTGTGTGTGTGTGTGTGTGTGTGTGTGTGTGTGTGTGTGTGTGTGTGTGTGTGTGTGTGTGTGTGTGTGTGTGTGTGTGTGTGTGTGTGTGTGTGTGTGTGTGTGTGTGTGTGTGTGTGTGTGTGTGTGTGTGTGTGTGTGTGTGTGTGTGTGTGTGTGTGTGTGTGTGTGTGTGTGTGTGTGTGTGTGTGTGTGTGTGTGTGTGTGTGTGTGTGTGTGTGTGTGTGTGTGTGTGTGTGTGTGTGTGTGTGTGTGTGTGTGTGTGTGTGTGTGTGTGTGTGTGTGTGTGTGTGTGTGTGTGTGTGTGTGTGTGTGTGTGTGTGTGTGTGTGTGTGTGTGTGTGTGTGTGTGTGTGTGTGTGTGTGTGTGTGTGTGTGTGTGTGTGTGTGTGTGTGTGTGTGTGTGTGTGTGTGTGTGTGTGTGTGTGTGTGTGTGTGTGTGTGTGTGTGTGTGTGTGTGTGTGTGTGTGTGTGTGTGTGTGTGTGTGTGTGTGTGTGTGTGTGTGTGTGTGTGTGTGTGTGTGTGTGTGTGTGTGTGTGTGTGTGTGTGTGTGTGTGTGTGTGTGTGTGTGTGTGTGTGTGTGTGTGTGTGTGTGTGTGTGTGTGTGTGTGTGTGTGTGTGTGTGTGTGTGTGTGTGTGTGTGTGTGTGTGTGTGTGTGTGTGTGTGTGTGTGTGTGTGTGTGTGTGTGTGTGTGTGTGTGTGTGTGTGTGTGTGTGTGTGTGTGTGTGTGTGTGTGTGTGTGTGTGTGTGTGTGTGTGTGTGTGTGTGTGTGTGTGTGTGTGTGTGTGTGTGTGTGTGTGTGTGTGTGTGTGTGTGTGTGTGTGTGTGTGTGTGTGTGTGTGTGTGTGTGTGTGTGTGTGTGTGTGTGTGTGTGTGTGTGTGTGTGTGTGTGTGTGTGTGTGTGTGTGTGTGTGTGTGTGTGTGTGTGTGTGTGTGTGTGTGTGTGTGTGTGTGTGTGTGTGTGTGTGTGTGTGTGTGTGTGTGTGTGTGTGTGTGTGTGTGTGTGTGTGTGTGTGTGTGTGTGTGTGTGTGTGTGTGTGTGTGTGTGTGTGTGTGTGTGTGTGTGTGTGTGTGTGTGTGTGTGTGTGTGTGTGTGTGTGTGTGTGTGTGTGTGTGTGTGTGTGTGTGTGTGTGTGTGTGTGTGTGTGTGTGTGTGTGTGTGTGTGTGTGTGTGTGTGTGTGTGTGTGTGTGTGTGTGTGTGTGTGTGTGTGTGTGTGTGTGTGTGTGTGTGTGTGTGTGTGTGTGTGTGTGTGTGTGTGTGTGTGTGTGTGTGTGTGTGTGTGTGTGTGTGTGTGTGTGTGTGTGTGTGTGTGTGTGTGTGTGTGTGTGTGTGTGTGTGTGTGTGTGTGTGTGTGTGTGTGTGTGTGTGTGTGTGTGTGTGTGTGTGTGTGTGTGTGTGTGTGTGTGTGTGTGTGTGTGTGTGTGTGTGTGTGTGTGTGTGTGTGTGTGTGTGTGTGTGTGTGTGTGTGTGTGTGTGTGTGTGTGTGTGTGTGTGTGTGTGTGTGTGTGTGTGTGTGTGTGTGTGTGTGTGTGTGTGTGTGTGTGTGTGTGTGTGTGTGTGTGTGTGTGTGTGTGTGTGTGTGTGTGTGTGTGTGTGTGTGTGTGTGTGTGTGTGTGTGTGTGTGTGTGTGTGTGTGTGTGTGTGTGTGTGTGTGTGTGTGTGTGTGTGTGTGTGTGTGTGTGTGTGTGTGTGTGTGTGTGTGTGTGTGTGTGTGTGTGTGTGTGTGTGTGTGTGTGTGTGTGTGTGTGTGTGTGTGTGTGTGTGTGTGTGTGTGTGTGTGTGTGTGTGTGTGTGTGTGTGTGTGTGTGTGTGTGTGTGTGTGTGTGTGTGTGTGTGTGTGTGTGTGTGTGTGTGTGTGTGTGTGTGTGTGTGTGTGTGTGTGTGTGTGTGTGTGTGTGTGTGTGTGTGTGTGTGTGTGTGTGTGTGTGTGTGTGTGTGTGTGTGTGTGTGTGTGTGTGTGTGTGTGTGTGTGTGTGTGTGTGTGTGTGTGTGTGTGTGTGTGTGTGTGTGTGTGTGTGTGTGTGTGTGTGTGTGTGTGTGTGTGTGTGTGTGTGTGTGTGTGTGTGTGTGTGTGTGTGTGTGTGTGTGTGTGTGTGTGTGTGTGTGTGTGTGTGTGTGTGTGTGTGTGTGTGTGTGTGTGTGTGTGTGTGTGTGTGTGTGTGTGTGTGTGTGTGTGTGTGTGTGTGTGTGTGTGTGTGTGTGTGTGTGTGTGTGTGTGTGTGTGTGTGTGTGTGTGTGTGTGTGTGTGTGTGTGTGTGTGTGTGTGTGTGTGTGTGTGTGTGTGTGTGTGTGTGTGTGTGTGTGTGTGTGTGTGTGTGTGTGTGTGTGTGTGTGTGTGTGTGTGTGTGTGTGTGTGTGTGTGTGTGTGTGTGTGTGTGTGTGTGTGTGTGTGTGTGTGTGTGTGTGTGTGTGTGTGTGTGTGTGTGTGTGTGTGTGTGTGTGTGTGTGTGTGTGTGTGTGTGTGTGTGTGTGTGTGTGTGTGTGTGTGTGTGTGTGTGTGTGTGTGTGTGTGTGTGTGTGTGTGTGTGTGTGTGTGTGTGTGTGTGTGTGTGTGTGTGTGTGTGTGTGTGTGTGTGTGTGTGTGTGTGTGTGTGTGTGTGTGTGTGTGTGTGTGTGTGTGTGTGTGTGTGTGTGTGTGTGTGTGTGTGTGTGTGTGTGTGTGTGTGTGTGTGTGTGTGTGTGTGTGTGTGTGTGTTCCATGTATGTATATGTGTTACCAAACGAACCGCACGTAGATTACTATTACATCAATATTAATTAATGACATACGTCGCGATTGCAGTCCAGAGGCACGTCATTTTCCGTTTTAATAGTATTATGATTGTCTGGATATATATATTTTAATAGAATAATGTTAGCAGTACAGAATATGACTGAAATAAGAGGTCAAATCATTCCTCTGGATTCTTAATAAAAAAAGAAGTTAAATAATTATTTAATATATAAAATAAAAAACAACTAATTCATTGTCTGAATTTTATTTAAAATTGACGCATATTTTTCTATTAAAAAAAAGTAGTTTGAAATACTATTCTGTGTAAAAATACTATGTTAGAACGCTTTTATTAATATAATATAGATAAAAATCACGATTAAAAATAAGTTGTTTATTAAATTTGACAATTTCAGTATATATGTTGGCGATATAAATTAATTAATTTCATTTATAGAAGCGACCTTTAAATACATTTACTTAAATAATAGCTCATTCTAATCATCCTATACTGATCTATCTCAAAATGAGCTTTGCAGACACATATTATTATTACATCGATATTAATTAATGGCACGTCACGATTCCAATTCGCGCGATACATCTATCTCGCATTTAATTTCAATATTGTCATTATTATTTCAATATTTCGACTAAATAACTCTGGATAAATCCCCTTACTATAAACCCGTTACATTAATGATTAACGATGTAGAACCGCGATTGCAGTCGATTATATGATATACGCGGTTTCCGTATTTCCATGTTACATGCTGTTCAAATTCTAACTGGATAACTCGGTACATATACACTACAATCTTGTTTCGAAACACGTTGCCGAACACCTGTAATGTCGTGCAAAAGTTATGTAAGATATGTCAACTGCGATGTGACCGAATTTCGGCCGAATCTGCAAAGAAAAATAAGCGCCAAAGATGTTATGATTGTCTATGATGTACCATTTTTACAGCTTGTTCCATTTGATTCGATTAACGAGTCGAGTCGCATTTGAGAAAATCACGATCTTAGTGGCGGGCGGAAATTCAGCTCGAGTCTCCGAATAAACATTTGCCGAATGAATCTTAGCCGAGAGAGGAGGAGAAATTACGAAATTTTTAAAAACTCCATCTTTATGCCGAAATACCATCTAGTTTCTAGTTAATGCGCTCGCGCACGTCGGAATAAAATCGATTCTCGCAGAAACGTTCTTAAAATATACGATAGGACGTCACTTCTTTCTTTTTCCCTGTCTGTCGTGTCCTTATGGACGATGAACTCCGAGGAATTTTCGTGATAGCCGCTCCCTCCTTGTGACTCGCAAAAGTTTCTGTCGTCGCAAATTTTATATTCATTCCAGACTACTATCCGGAAGAGGACGACGGTAATTGGACATGCGTGGCCGGACTCGTGGGTAAAAACGGTCACTTGGAGGAAGCCTGGGACAATGTCATGTGTCATAAAATTCCGTATGCGTCCAGAATGACGGTCTTTATCGTTAAGCGCCTTAGCTTCGTGGTCATCGGTATCACACTGATAATCGTCGTCTTTGGTACCTTCGGTTACGTCTTGGGCCGATATAGGCTTCGTCGAATGATGTCGAGAGACATCATTAACGACTCATCAAGCTACAGCCCGCAGGTATATTATCCCTCGAAATCGCTTCAACCCAAGTTCGACATTTAATTTACGATTTTTATTTGAGTTTTTAATATTAATATATCATATTAATCGTAGAATAATATATTTTTTAGAAGGTTAATATATTATGTTAATATATATTAATAAAATAAATATATGTCTATAATACACTTATATTTGTGCATTATGCAAAATACAAAATATTATATCAAATATCTTTTTATACTTTATAGTTAGCTATATTAAATATGCTATTCTGAATTTAGTAGTGATACGTTTTTATCTACTTTTTCCCCCTTATAATTAATATGTTTGAAAGAAATATCGATAATTAGATGTGTGAAAAAAATATATTTTATAAAAATATTTTTTCAAGTTTTTTTTTTACAAATCAGCACGTTTCTACTAGATACAAATTAGATACAAGTTCTGATTTAATTTCCAATCAGCTTGGAGTCAGCTTGTAGAAACCTTGTGAAATTTCACCGCTATGCGGATATGTAACTGTAACTTATTTCTAGACTTTAATTCTTGCGGTTGATTTAGACTTGTCAGACTTGCTCGAAACGTTCGCGAATGCGTGTGCCTTTAGGCTGCTTTTATACATACGCGAGTTACTCACGCGTTTTCAGATATTCGCAAGACAAGCTTATGTCCATATGCTATTTTTCTTGAATTATTAGAGTTACGGGACGCGATCTTTCTCCCAGATCCGTCGCTTTGCAACCAGAAGGTTCGCCCGACCACCAAAATTTCTCTCCGTTCTCTCAAACGAAGTGCTGTGTCCGCGCCTCAAAAGAATCTCAATATTGATCCCGATTCCCCGCTTATGTCTGGCGGCCTCAACGAATCAAAGTCCATCCTGTAATTGGAAACGGCAGCGGCCCGTTCGACTGGAAGATTCACGACTGAATTGCCGTAGGAACACAATTTACGGTAGCGAGCGTTCGCGCGCGAAGAGGGAGGACAGAAAAGGGTGGCTATCTTGCCAGACGATGGCGGCGGCGAGCCGGTATAACTTTGATATTCCGTCCTTGAGCGAAGGAAGATATGCTAACGATCTGTAAAGAGTATGGCATGGGAGCTGAACAGAGATTCAAGCCTCGCCAGGATAAATTGCGAGTGAAATTAATCGCCACATTTTTGCGGTCTTGCAGTCGATACGCGACTCTTCGCCGATATATTGAATTACGTGCACACAATTTGCAGAAGAATTAAATTCCAGTAAATATGCTGATCATGAATATGCATATATAAATAATTCTCTCTATATTTTAAGGTAATCATTCTTCTATAAATCGACCTTTTAATGAAATTGGTATTATAATATCAATTATATCAATCGATTATATTTTCTTAACAAAGAGTTTATAAAATAATAGTTTGATTAAACTTTAAACGCGTGCCCGCCCGCAAAGTATAGTCACGCCAAATCTTTGCGTGTATCAGTATTTTATATCATATATCAGCAAAAGTATAATTATAAAATGAAATCGATCCAAATTAAATTTGTACCCTTAAGACACTATGCCGTAAATTTTTCATAAAGAATATTCATTACACATATTCAAAATTCTGGCGGCTCAAACCGCGATTACAGTGAGAATAAAAACTTCGATATTGTTTCTAATAATACACGACTACTAGGAAGATTAATAAAACTCACCAAGAAAAAACTTGTTGGATAAGAAAAAGCAAAATAACAATCGGAAAATATAATAATCCGAGCGTCAGAGAGTCCATCGAGAGTCGATCCATTTGTCCATCGGCGAACAAATCGCGAAGCCGAAGAAAAAATAATTTCAACGCAGACTGATGTTGACAGTTTTCGTTCGTTAAGGTCTGAATTTGTAAGCACTCGATTTCGCGAAACTCGATTTTCTTGTCGAAGCTCGGGGAAAAAAATAGGACGGATCTCACTTTCTCTCTCTCTTTCTCTTTCTCTTTTACGTGCGATGACGATTTCGGAGCGGAATTATTTCCGCTCGTAGCTAGCCGATAACGAGTTATTGAACTCGAAGGATGGAAATTGTTGTTCGTAGTTCGTGAAGACTGACATCGCGATGCTACGCCAACACAAACGGGACGTAGGTAAATACGAAATGTTATCATCGAATCTAACGATAAGACTACCAGAAAATTAATTAACTCGTACAGAGACACAACTCCGAAAATTTTATGTGCTAAATATAACCGGTTTATTATTTTAGAAAAAAATTCATCGTTTAAAAAATATGATCACTCTCAAATTAATCAAACTATCTCTTATTAAAATAAAAAAATATATTCTAAGTCACGTTACATACCTACTCTCTAAATCTGTCGTTTCATGTTTTATGAGATTAAATTGAGATAAAGATATAATATAATCGAAGCTCTGAAATTAATTAGTTAGCTTGATTATATCATATATTTTTCGTGTCAAAATAATACTTTACATTCAACCCTTACTAGTTTATGTAAACGGATATAAAGAGCAAAATCTACAGGCTCGAATATTTTTCATTTTCTTTGGTCTACTTTTTTGCGTTCCTCGTTTCCATATCGCGTATCGGTTTATATACTCGAAAGTATCAAAGGTGTTTATTAATGCTCACATTAATAACGCAATTTATATGTAAAATCTCGAAGGAACATATCAAAGGCAAACAAAATTCTTCCGCAAGTCAAACACGTTTCTATTCGCTTTACGTTCATTAGTATTATCGCAAAGATAAATCGATACGTTCGTTTATTCATGATACTGACAGAGATTCCTCAGTTTTGAAAGGCAACGTTTGAATTTAAGCTCGGCGCATGAAGAGCTGATTTACGCAAAAATTATATTATCTTTTGAATAGCCAGCATGCTATGGATTAGCATGCGAGTTGAAAATTGCAAACTTAAAAAATATCGTTGAGAAGTTTTTACGACGACATACATTTTGTATATCGTCACACGATGTATATTTTCATATTTCATGAGATATATATGTACATATATTATACACACATATATTTACATTAAATAAATAAGTTTAATTGTTTATTTATAATATCTATTGTTAAATTTTTTAAATGAACAAATTTCGTGACATTTATATAATTTGTTACTTGAAACTTCTTTAGTGATACTTCAATCTATTTAAAACACCAGCTATAAAGTACCCAACACCACAATTTTTTTTTTTTTGTACAATCGAGCAGATTTTTTTCCAGCCGTAGAATAAAGAGTAAATTATAGTGCATTAAGCAATACAATCGTCCAATATAAATAATACATAAATAAAAAAGAGAGAGAAAGTTTCCTGTTTAGCTAGTTATAAATTATATCTTGTGTTATAAACCATGATTAATATGGAAAGGATGAAAGGACACGATCATATCTGCTAATTTATATTGTAACACTTGTGACAATTAAATCGAATAATATTTATCAAATTATAAACTTTTGAATGAATGTTTTTAGCGGTTTTACTTTTATCTCTGTTCCTATTTTAATTTTAATCTAGTCTTGCTTTCAAGTGATCAAGTGCTTTAATAATTCGTATGTGTCTTATATTAATTATTTTACTTATAGAATATGAAATAAAGATGATATAATTACGTCAAATATTATTTCTTTTAATAGTAATACCATCAAAGCGCCTGCGGTAGTTGAACAATATTTTCATTTAGCAGAAAACTTGAATTATTCAGTCCGCGTGCGCAGTTGACAAGCTACAATCTCTCGCTAACTCGATTCCGTATTAACTCGAAATGGAGTTTCCGTCTCTGAGTTTACCGCAACGTAAGGCTGTTCAGTTCTAAGCCAACGTACGTACGCACGTTCGCATATCCGGTCCCCAGTCCCCTTTTCCGCGTGCAATAATATTCCATTTGCGCGTACAACGATTATGCGAGCATAGACAATCAACGTGCGCGCGCTCTCGCTCGCTCGCTCGCTCGCTCGCGCAGCCTCTTCTCCCGCAGGCGATTATTCCTCGTGCTTCACTACGTGGACCATATCCCTCCCCATCATCCGGGGATTCTCATTCGCGCGCATCTCGCGTGTATCTCTTCGCGCCGCAATAATAGCCGGCCGCGTGGCGCAGGATAATAATAAGGATGGATAAATTCCCCAAGCGTGTGTGCGCGAATGCATCGAGAATCGCGCAAGGTTTCCACCGGCGGAAACCAATTAGAGACAGACTGCTAAGGAATCTGACAGTCGGCTGAATGTTACATGGCTTTGTGTTACGTAAATCCTATCCACATCGCGACAGGATGGCGGCGTACGGAGGGAGAAAGCGTAGATAGCGGAGAAAGTTTCTCTCGCGAATAATCTCTCGAAAACGAGAGCGCAAGCTGCGCCGTTTGAATTGGAGCGAAGAGAGAGAGAGAGAGAGAGAGAGAGAGAGAGAAAGAGATTGTTATTCTCTCGAAATGCTTTTATTTCGTTATTTTAACGTGTGCGAAGGCACTGACGCGGAGCGAAGATTGAAATTAACGAGAACATTCGCCGATTCTGAACGCGCGGAGACGTTAGTACGATGATGACATAACGATATCGTTCGTTGACTTAAGGTAATAGCCTATGTATTGCGACGTGAACGTATTGCGTGTGCGCTTATTGCCACTGATATATTTGATACACGAAACAATATAACCGAGAAATTCATCAAAATTGCATTACCAATTTAATTAAGAGAAATTAGCGACATACACATATTTATTTGAAAAAATGATAATTACTTAAATTACGATATAGTAAATCAGCATAATTTGTTAATAACATTTTGTTTCCGCTTTAAATATTCTTATAGAAATTAAACTATTTGTCAAAGATGCAATAAAAGAGATAATTCAACGAAAAAAATAGCGACACATTTCGCAACCCATACTCTCGTCTTGCCAGGATTAAATTTTGTCATAGCGAAAACGCGGCGGCGCATATCCTATACAACGCGCGTTCGATGACAGAATCAGAGGCTAGATTGCAGGCAACGAAAGGGAAACGGCGCATCAACGTAAGATTGCCGGCGCTCTAGTAATTTCGCGGGATTAATATTTAATATCCGGAAGGGCTACGAAGGGAGCCAAACAAGGGCGAGCATTTTCCCCCCTTTCCTTCTTTCTCTTTCAGCTGATCACAGATCAGATTCCTACATCTCTCTTCTCCCGCGCTGTTGATCCCTCTCTCATCGACGACGTTATCTCCGACAAGAACTGACATGTGCACCCCCAATTCCCGCTACCATCTCCTCGGGCTGGCGCAACCCTTGACCCCACCGTTCTAGACGGTACTCCGCGAAGAAATAATGAGAGACAATCCGGCGACTTTTCATTTTGTCGTCGGATTTCTCCGATGAAAAACAAAGTCCGATCCTCGCTTGCAAGCATCGTACGCGACTTTCGTTTCGCGTATATTACCGCAGTTGTGGCAACTTTTTTATCCGACTGCTACTGAACATTATTGCGGAAATGTTGCGACGGATATTGAAGCGTCACTGAAAGATATACGCGGTGTACGATTTCCGCGGCTTAGTCATGAAAAGTACACGCATATCGGAGATATTATACATGTATCACAGTTGGATAATAATGTCTTTATATAGTTTATGAGAGAGAGAGACTCCCATTAATCCTGAATTAATCCTGAAAAAGAAATCCCATGCTTCGTTGAGTGTTATGGCTTCAACAAAATCTGGGATCCAAATTTACAAAAGCAGGTTTATAAATTATAATATTTTATGAATAATATAGTGTGTGTGCTTTAATTCATTAAATTATGAAGATCGTATATTAAAATCAAATATAACTTTTCTCATCGAGAGATGAAAAATATTTATAAATTATTTTATGAATAATATAGTGTGTGTGCTTTAATTCATTAAATTATGAAGATTGTATACTAAAATAAAATATGACTTTTCTCATCGAGAGATGAAAAATATTTATAAATTATTTTATGAATAATATAGTGTGTGTACTTTAATTCATTAAACTATGAAGATTGTATACTAAAATAAAATATAACTGTTCTCATCGAGAGATGAAAAATATTAAAATATTAGCAATATCTCATATAAAATTTTATAATGACAAAATTGTTATGTAATTATTCATTCAAATTTATTTCGCTATACATTTTCTTTAAATATTCAAGCATTATTATTTTTCCACATATTTATACGTGAGATGATATAAGAATATTATAACAGACTATATACAAAATATCTCTAAACTAATTAGATAACTTATGGAAGAAATTAATTAAGAGTTTTATTTTAGATAGAGACAAATTATTTTAGCGTTTTTCGAGTTTACCTACAATTTCAATTCGAAATATTGATATCGAAAAAAATCTCTGAAAAGAAGAGGGGTGCGAATTTCAGTCTCATGTCAAAGTGCGCAAATGTCCCAGGCCAACCCTCCTCTTTGGGCCGTTCCCTCGTGCGGCTTTTGTAAAATGTTGGCAGACCGCACAGAGTACCGCGAGAACAAGCGTCTCTCGTTCGATTCTCCCCCGTTTCAATTATCTAATTGAAAGCAACGACACACCGGTCATCCGTCCGTGCCACCCCCGCTCGTTCTTCTTCTCGCTTCCCGCGCGACGCTATTCCGCCCCAAATGCGTGTAACCTCCGATAATTTATAAACTAGATGTTTACATGACTACTACATCGAAAAAAATTTCCTTTTTTATTGTGATGCACAGTTACATTTACAAAACCAAAATAACCCTATCCGACATCATGTATATCGTTGTCCCCGAGAAAAGAATGGACAGTTTTGCACTATTCCTAAGAGCCTAAGAGCTGGCATAAAAATTCGCGTCAGGCCACGTCGGCCGTAACAAGAAGACGACGGTCGAGACCGTAATCAAGAAACTCCGAGAAACGCCGAGCACTTCGCGGGTCGGCTCGCATTAGATACTTTTCTCCTAAACTCGCTGAAAGCGGAGCTCGGCCACGAAACGAGAGACAGCTCTTTCTCTCCGCTCGTCCGTCGAGGCCGCAAACGAAACGGAAATGGAGGCGAAACGGTAGTCCGTGCAAACGGATGCCGCATACGTACTTTACCGAGGAGGAAGTATACGTTTTGCTTAGCGTTTTAACGGACAGAACGAAGCCCCGACGTTTTCGTGACGTCGACTAAAATAATCTGCCCGCTCGATTCGCAAGGGAGTCCTGCGGTGCTTCCGAGATTAGATTTGCTACTCGTGTACTCGAGAGAGAGAGGGAGAGAATTCCTTTTTCGCGAGAACAGTGTTGGCGCGATAGAACTGATTTTTATTAAATTCATCTCTTCACGATGCAATTCCGCTTCGACGGCAAGATTTATCTTCTTATAGACAAAGAATATTTCCATTTTGTTATTTTTTCTGGCAAAAGACAGAATGCGCGCCAGAACGAAGAGTAAAGTCTTGCTCTTGAATCCTGAATTTGAAGAGACTGTAATGAAGTAAATTTAATATTACACATTATAAAATATATAAAAAATAAAGGAAATTTAATATCACATTATTAATTATAAAATATATTAAATAAATATATAATATATATGATATAATTTGGTATCAAATCTGAAAATTTAAACGAATACACGATTTATTGCGATAATTTTTATTTAATCAATAGTATAATATATTTTTTCAGAGAGAGTTTTACAATTTCCAGCAAAATTGGAGATATGCGAGAAGTAAAAACGAACAAGAAAAAAAAAGAAACAATTCAGCCGTTATGTGATAGTAACCGGAGATCGTGGAAAAATCGATAGTTTATATGCACTCGGGTCGCACGGATTGTAATCGTTAAATGTGAACAACGATTCGACGTTTCTTCCTATAAATCCCGAGCACCATTTGCAGTAAAGAATCACATGGCTGTCGACGAGCAAATGTTTACGAGCCTGTGTACTTGTATCGGGTGCCAATTTCGTGACGCATAGACCGATTTTGTAACGGATTAATCCACTTTAATCTCTCTTGCACCTTTATTATTCCTATTATAAATCTCTATTACAATCTCGCACAAAAATGAATTACGTTTATTATGTTACAGCTGTCTCGTCACGCGTTTCATTTTTTGTCACACACATAAAAACGTTGGATTTTTCTATATATTAACGATTTATTTCATCCAAATGCGTGTAACCTCCGATAAATCGTTCCGCACCTAGAGGCTTTCTTTCTCTCTCTTTCTCTTTCTCTCTATCTATGCCGGCCAATAACTGTTAAGGATACCCATCTGCTTTGTTCCCGGGCATGAACGACCGGACCAACGAAGGCAATCAAGCACCATCGGGCTTTGCTGACGCGGTTCCGCAATTACAACGCACGCCTCGTTACACGCGTGCGTCGCTACGGGGACGATACGTCTCCCCATTCGCCTCGTATGCTATTTTCAGTGGCGTAACTATCGTAGTTTTAGTGTGATTCGACAAAATCAAAGAATTCTTAAAGTAATCCGTAATCATAATCTGTAATTATAATCATTATATTTTTTTTATTTTGTCTTTTTTTAATTGTTATAATATAAAATTTTTAGTTAGCGTAAAATTTTTATCAGCTTGGAAAACCATAACGCATGTAATATTTTTAATTCATTCTGTTATAATTGTAATAACAACTTTTAATTATCCATAAAATATGTATTAATGAATTCAATTTATTAATTACCATTTTATTGTCATCATAAATTGAGCTTTTCGAGAAAAATAAAATTAAAAGTTTCAGTTTGCCAAATTAATATTACGTACGTACGTAAATGTGTTGCGTATTTATAATAATACGTCATACATCGTAAAATTCAATGCTCGTATAGGGCGCTATTATTTATTATATGTTGCTAGGCTTGCCGCGTGACGAGACTCGAGCAAGATTATGCGCGAGCCGCTTCGTGTATCATTATATTATTTCGCAAAATACGATCGCGACAGGTGTTAAAATCTACATTATCTAGTCATTATCCGGTCATTAATAGTTTTATCTGATCATTAACTCGACTCACATAGTATTATGAGGTATATGTATGTCAAAGTAAAGTTAGTGATATTAAATCAATATTACAAATCATTGTTAAAATTAAATAAATATTTAAATTAAAGTTTTAATACATTTTATATATGTATTTATATGTAATAAAATATGGAGTTATATAGCTTAATAAATGTACTGAAAAATGTTTATATGTTTATTACTTTCCTGAGGAAAGTTATTATATTATGGGCGCGTTCCATTTAACGACCGCAACGCTCACGAGTATCATCTGTCTTTGTTTAACTTTTGGTGAACAACAAGGATGAAACGATACCGTGAGCGTTGCGGTCGTTAAGTGGAACACGCCCTATGTAATTCGAAATCAAGATTTCCATATTCCGGAGTGTAGTTGTATTTAATTGTCAATCGTGTGGCAAAAACTCTTTTGTTATTATCTAGCCTGTGTTTATTTACAGACGGTGGCCTTGATATCATTCGTATGGCGAGACCGCAGCAGAAAGATAATAATATCGTATCAGCTCGCGAAATTTCGTTTTGTAAGTATTAAAACACGTGAAACGCGTTCATTTTCTGCGATTATCACAATTAGCGATTAACAATTAATGAGTATGACTCGGAAGCGATACTTTTAAATAATACAGTGATTTATAATATAATCCAACGTAATTATATGTATATAACTTGGATATATTTATATTTTACAGAATACAATGTGTTAATTAACCGCTCCGTTAATCAAGAAACTTCGAGAAGCGCCGGATACTTTGCGGATGGACTCGCATTAGATATTTTCTCCTAAACTCGATGAAAATGAAGCTTGCCCACGAAATGAGAGACATCTCCTGCGCACCGTTTCGGCAAGTGATAAGTTATTTATTTTATAATCTGGAAATAATAAAATTGTTTCCAGATGTAATAAAATTAATGTTATTAATTTCTTACGGAAAGTAATTATATCCTATGAATCAAAATATAACAACTCAAGATCTTTATATTCCATGAAAGATTACGCATTATTCATAAAGACCATTTCTTTCAATTTACATAAATTAATTTCATAAAATCACGCAACGAATCATATAGTGAAAAATGAATCACCATGATGGTTTTATAATATTAAAATTACTATAGTAACTGCTATTTTTTAATGATATTTTGATGACGCTTAAATGAATACTCTCATCATTTTTTAAATAATTTTATAATATCGTTACTTTTTTATTATCGTAAAAACATAATAGATCTTATACATTTTTCATGAAATTGATGTGTCATTAAAGAGAGATTACTTTACTCCTGCAGGAATAATTATATCATATTATATATTTAAAAATTGAAAAAGTTATTTTAAAACTATTTAAATCCAAAAAAAATATATTAAAAAATAAGAAGTATATATATTAAAATTATAAAATTTATAAACTAGATGTTTACATGACTACTACATCGAAAAAAATTTCCTTTTTTATTGTGATGCACAGTTACATTTACAAAACCAAAATAACCCTATCCGACATCATGTATATCGTTGTCCCCGAGAAAAGAATGGACAGTTTTGCACTATTCCTAAGAGCCTAAGAGCTGGCATAAAAATTCGCGTCAGGCCACGTCGGCCGTAACAAGAAGACGACGGTCGAGACCGTAATCAAGAAACTCCGAGAAACGCCGAGCACTTCGCGGGTCGGCTCGCATTAGATACTTTTCTCCTAAACTCGCTGAAAGCGGAGCTCGGCCACGAAACGAGAGACAGCTCTTTCTCTCCGCTCGTCCGTCGAGGCCGCAAACGAAACGGAAATGGAGGCGAAACGGTAGTCCGTGCAAACGGATGCCGCATACGTACTTTACCGGGGAGGAAGTATACGTTTTGCTTAGCGTTTTAACGGACAGAACGAAGCCCCGACGTTTTCGTGACGTCGACTAAAATAATCTGCCCGCTCGATTCGCAAGGGAGTCCTGCGGTGCTTCCGAGATTAGATTTGCTACTCGTGTACTCGAGAGAGAGAGAGAGAGAGAGAGAGAATTCCTTTTTCGCGAGAACAGTGTTGGCGCGATAGAACTGATTTTTATTAAATTCATCTCTTCACGATGCAATTCCGCTTCGACGGCAAGATTTATCTTCTTATAGACAAAGAATATTTCCATTTTGTTATTTTTTCTGGCAAAAGACAGAATGCGCGCCAGAACGAAGAGTAAAGTCTTGCTCTTGAATCCTGAATTTGAAGAGACTGTGTAATGAAGTAAATTTAATATTACATTATAAAATATATAAAAAATAAAGTTTTGTAACGGATTAATCCACTTTAATCTCTCTTGCACCTTTATTATTCCTATTATAAATCTCTATTACAATCTCGCACAAAAATGAATTACGTTTATTATGTTACAGCTGTCTCGTCACGCGTTTCATTTTTTGTCACACACATAAAAACGTTGGATTTTTCTATATATTAACGATTTATTTCTTTATAATCCATTCGCTAAAGAGACCATTCCATGAATATGGAGTATATCACAAAACATATCAAGAATAAATATATCACGTAAATAACAATTACAAATACATTATAATATTATGAGCTTCTATAAATTATAATTCTATAAATTATAAGATCACATCACGATAAATGACATAGCTCATTAGTCTCCTTCATTTGAATAATTAGTAGATATGCTGATTAATAGGAAACAAGTATCTTTTAATTAACAAACCTGTCCCAGTCATATTAAGCTCTATTTTAAGTTTGCTTCGTTAAGTTTCAATAAAATTATTTTAGTAATTCTAGTAAAATACATTAAAATGTCAATTTTTAACTATTCATACACTTCCTAGAAAAATGTAAATCTTTTTGTTATTTTTCAACTCGGTCAACATTTTGCAAAATATACAATTGTGGTTAATATAAAAACCAATATCCATGATGTGTGTATATGTAATCTAGTTGCATCAATTGTAATCACGCTAGTGCATTAAAAAGTCGCGTTGAAAGTAAACAACGAGTTCTCTTTTTCTCTCCCGATAAATCGCTAGTTCGATTGGTAATAAAGCGTGGGACATGGTTGTTTGCATGCAAAAATCGCATGTATCGTTCATGTAACGGGTGCAACTTGTTCAAACGCGTTTCAAACAAATTCATCCACAACAGACGCGAAAAATCGATAGAATTCGCAAGACATTCGCATGTATTATCGTACATTATTTGCAAATGCAATATAATAATTAATTGATTATTTTGCATGCCATTTTTTTAATTATTTTGCATGCCAATTAATTGATTATTTTTTTGTACAGCTATATAGCAAAGAATGCTTACATAACGAAATTTTTACGAACTTGCAATTCCGATTGAAACTAACATATCGCCGACCCAATAAAAAAAAAGAAAAATATTTTACGAGTCGCATCATCGCTTTTTTCCCATTTTACCCCTGACGCCTCCGTCTCATGCATATTCCGGCGAAATCAGCCGCACAGCGAAAAATGTGAATTCGAGAGCGAGTTATTTTCAACGTGATATTTTAACGGGGTTTCACCGGGGACAGACAAGCCGCGTAAAAAGTTAGTAAGGCATGAAACAAGAGATAAGAATAGCAAAAAAGCGGCATCAGTGCCGCACTCTGCGAGAAAAGGGAGCAGCGCAAAAATACATAGTTCCTCTGAAGCAAAATATCACGTTTAAAAATCATATTTAAAAACGTAATCGTATAAATTCCGGAAAAGCACGTACTCGTTACGCGCATATCACTCCGAGGATCCGCGTATATTTTCATCGACGTATTCTTTCGGCACAACTATGTGTCTGACTTCTCGAGAAAATCGACTCTCGGAATAATAACGACCTTAACAATTCAGACCTACGTTCGTCCACGATAATCTGACTTGTCAAAAAACTCGATTTTGTCCTGTTCCAGTCGGAGAATTTCGGATAAAAAGACTGGAACGAATTAACTTATTTTATTATTTCCAACACTATTTCTTACTCCGGAATGTAATCGCGCAACTTAATATATATAAAATATTTAAGAACTTATTAAAAAAATTTTAATTGTGAAGAAATATTTGTTTTCGAGTTTTACATATATAGCGAACTATTAATGATTTCGTGGGTAAATTTGGTTAATATAAGTCATTTACATATTTTATGTGAGAATAATCTAGTTTTGCCAACCCGAAGTACCATGCTGGTTTATGATCGTATCTGATTGAAATTCATAATATTATATTTCGAGACTGCTTACGCCACCATTTACAAAATAAACATTTGTATAATACGAGTAGTTAACAGACCATTGAGCACAAGCGGATGATATAAAAAATGAGCTTTTCATATGAGAGAATGAAATGTTTAATATCCAAGTTCGTGGCTTTATTCGTTCTCTTCTCTTCGCGACGCAAAGTATTTGCTAAAACCTCAAAATGTCTGGTATCCACAGCAATACCTGTAATTCCCGCGAGCTTATTTCCGGGCCACCCGGTGCACTCGGTGGACGCACGCAGGAAATGTCAAATGCAATTCGAGGATTGCGCTTGTGAAAAAAAGCTCGCGGGCGAATATTTGCGAAGCGCGTTTCCGTGTGCTTTTACGGTGATCAGCTCCGGCTTTCGTCATGTCGCGTCGAGATGAAAAGCCGCGGTGTTAACTCTTTGCGTGTGGGCGGAACATATCCGACCCGTTCATTTCGACTCCTCGTAACATTTTTTTATTACATGTTTGTTTTTTGTTTTTTTTATTTCGATCGCTTACATTTATTCGAATCTAATAGCATAAATTTGAAAAGGATAAATAAATCTAAAAAATGGGTTGTAATAAAAAGGACAATGAATTTTTGAAAATTTTAATAGAGATGTGAATACCGTCTCGCAATGAGTTAAACACATGTTACGCAAGTAAGAAGTATAACCGAGCTACGAAATTGACGATGTATGTATCCGAACCACTTCATGAAGTGGCAAACTTTGCCTCCTCTCCGTCTAAGCAACTCTCTCGATTCATCGCGACGCGTGACGCTCTCAACTTTCGCTGTCGGTGTCAGTTTAGCACATTTAGGGCGGCGCGTCTAATTGGCGAGGAATTACCGAATTCCTTGCCAAGCTCATTTGCAGAAATAGCGTTTTGCCCGCAATTACTGTAGTCTCGTTTTCATGCGTGCGTAATCCGTCATAGTTACTTTTGAATGCATGAAACATGCATCGCGGTATTGCATCATAATTCGCCGATGCAGCTGCATCGAACGAGGTTGTTCGGCTGCATATATTCACTTGCCTCGATGGTTCGTTCAGTGCATCTGCAACGAATAAACTGATGCATCTTAAAATATTATTTTCTCACGTTTTTTTCTTTTCTTCGAAGCATTTATGGTAATGATTCTCTATGCAAATTATTCAATTTTTTTATAATTTTTTACGTGATGCTTAAGTCCTGCTGGCGGAAAACATTTTATCTTTATGTTTATCTCATAATCGTGGATAAAAAAATTGAAATATTGAACAATAACGAACCAATATAAATCTCTATAAATCTCTACATGTTATGCATATATCTTGTTATTGGTTGCGACTTGCATTCTATTCCTTTAATATCGCGATCCTCTTTTGCGATCGGACTAACGTACAGAGCTATATCTAGATTTTATATTATCGACATCATATGTGCGACGAAATATTTGCCTTGTAGCTATGTTCGATTTCTCGATAAAAACGATGTCGAATGTCTTCCAATATTTCTGCTACTATATATACAATCCGATACATAATTTACCACGTATAATTTTGTGTTACGTCTCATTGAAGTATTAATAGATCGATCCGCGCCTGCGGATACCCACTATATCAAAAGATACAAAGCATGGATAAC